AGAACTTAGCCTTATGGATTGAGAAATATCCCAATATATAAACGATGAATCTATATATTATCAATACTTGAATTTGGTGAACTTGACTTCTTTTGGTATGTTGTAAGTTTTGTAAATTGTCAGAAATTTTTGACTGTGCAATTTAAAAAAAAAAAAAAAAAAAAAAGCAAGTTCATATAATGTTTATTTCATTTAAAATAAATATTTATTCAAATATTCATAAAATGACAATCATTATATCGTGGGGATCTGGTCCATAAAATAAATTATATATACAGAATTTGTGAATTACAAATTTATAAAACAAATACCTTTAAGTTCACCAAGTGGCTTGTGGTTCACTGGTAATCAATTGTTTTTTTATGTGGGAAGTCTAGGTTTCGAGTCTTGTTGTCGGCATAGTTTGTATGGATATCCCCTTCCTTTGTAATAAAAAGAAATACCTTTAAGTTCATAATAAAAATTTTGTTAATTTTCAACCAAATGTCCCTTAAAATTATACTATAATTATGATTACATGTCCAATACTTAATTTATGAACCTTTAATTAACTATTTACCTACCGTTTACTTATTATGTGTTGAAAAAATAGCATAAAATGACAGTTTAAGTGACTATTTTGTCGTACAAATATATGTGGGGTTCACTCCTGATTTGAGTCGGGTCAAAATATATTCGGGTTATTTGTAGTGAGACGAAAAGATTGATATACTATACGCTCAAAACAGGAAGAAATTTATTCTTAAAGTAGACTTGTAAATAGCCTTTGTTCCACATTCCACATTCGAAAAAGAGTAGATTTGCACCACTATATATACAATACCGTTTAAGAGAGAATTTGAATTTTATAACTTAGAAACTCTCTCCGCGCAAGAGGTACAAATCAAATCACAGAATAAACCTGAAAAAGACTTGACTTAATCGATTCTAACAGAACTAATTCAAATTTTATTTTTTAGAATTAATTTCTAGATTAAATATTTGTCGGACTTGACTTAATCGATTCTAACATAAATAATTCAAACTTGTTGTGATTATTGCTTTAGCTCGTAACCATCCTCGAAGAAACGGATTGTATTCGTAATGAAAACAATACAAATGAAAGGAAGAAGAAGATAGTAACATAGGGAGAAAGTGATAACAATTTTATTCCAACATCATCATTCATGTACAAAGGAAATTGGGCATTATCCAGTATTAATCATCCATCTGCACAGGTTAAACATGCGACTCATATTCGACTCTGTAGTTTGTGAAAGACAAGTAACACATATATACTTATTGGGCAAAGGGTATTTGATCGAAGTAGGTTATATCCTAGTTGAGATCAAACTCACAGTAAGTGTAGCGCACAGAACCTCAGGTCGAATGTAGTAATAATCATGAAGAAAAAGAAGCAAGTTTTTCGACTTCTTGTTTTCTGCCGTTAACAATTTGGGTTATGATAAGGTATTTCAAGTTATGAACATTTCTGATTTCATCATGACAACCAATTTGTCCTAATGTCTTTAAAAAAAAAAATGAAGCTCTACCGGGGCCCACAAAGGAAACCTTATCAATAATTGGAGGGAGAAGTTAGAGATTTGCATATAAAGATTATCCAAAAGAAAACACCACTAAAAAGATGTTGAATGAATTCAAATATATATGAATCCCGAAAAATAGGGAAAACTTTGACATAAGACATTTTTCTTGAAGGAAGGATAATAATGCTCAATCATCGAGCTAAATTTTCAGTAGGTCATCATCACTACCAACAAGAGCGTTTGCTTTAGGCAATGCAACATGGTTGGATTCAACCTTGTGTCGTTCATTATCGTGCTTTTACATTCGTTGGTAGGTTTCGACAAAATGTCTCAGGGTGTGGCACATATGTGACCGACAATTTATATCCTACACCAAGGCGCGCGTTGCACTGTGCGCCCAGATGCAAAACGACGTCGTTTTAAATTTTTATTTTTTTTTAAATTTCCCGCCCCAGTGAATGGCAGTAATTTTTTCTTTAAAAAAAAACCCGTTGTTCAAAAATGTACATAATGTTATACTAGAATACACATAATTGTATACATGAATATACATAATTATATAACAAAATATACATACTCTTTTAAAAGATAATACACATAATCTAACATAATACATAATAAACATAAATTTGTAACATAATACACATCAACTCTTAACATAATACACACAAATTTTCTGATTCGGATGTACATAATTGTATAAAAAGAATGTACATAATTGTATAAAAAAATGTACATAATTGTGTGAACAAATACACATAATCACAGCAACTTCCTATCGCGCCTCCCAAAACGACGTCGTTTTGGGAGGCGCGCGGCGCACAGTGCTACGCGCGCCGTGGTGTAGGGTATAACGATTGTACGTGACCAGTGCCTTTTACACCCACACTTAAAACACACTTTGTTGCTGGGCCATAGTTCTGGTTTGATGAATGTGGTTTTTCCTCAACGAGTTGGATCATTCTGTTGCTTATTTTGGTTTCGGGAGATGTTGTTTATTGTTGTTGTCACTTCGGCCTTACTTCTTCCTCAACCTCTCTTGGCGTTGCATGACTAGGCAACATTGTGTGTTTCGAGCACTTATACAGGGCCAACTGGGGTTGGAAAATATTGTGGGTTAGTACTAGTGGACTTTTTAAAAAAGTTTGAATTTAACATAAAAGCTATCCCTTGCAAATAGTCCTGCATAAGGTAAACGTCAATCAAATCAATGTATCGGAAATCTCATCAAATTAAAGATCAATGGGTACCAAATGTCAGAGCATCCGCATGAGTTGGAGAGAATTGTGGGATAATGTAAGAGTGATTAAGAAAGAGAAAGTGGGAGGGGAGAGAAAAAAAGAAAAAAATAAAGAGAAAATTGAAATTGAAAAAAAATAAAATAAAAAACTGAAGTGTCAGGCGCGCTGACACAGCGTGCCTGACATGCACACGGGCGCGTGTGGCCACAGGCTGTACACAAACGTGCACAACCTGTGTTGCTTATTTATTTTTATTTTTTTTCTTTCTTCTGACATTATTTTTGCATTTGCAGGAGGATTCTTCCCTCAAATAACCCCACCCCACATCTTTTAATATCCCCATCCAAGTTTATTCATCTGACATTAACCCCTTATTAACCTTTGGCGTGGATGCTCTTAGTAGTTTATACAAAATTTATTAGAATCATGTTACATTTTGGGGAGAGTTAATTACCGAAATGGTCCATTGACTATAGTAAAATTACCAATTTGATCATTGACTATTTTTTTTAATCAATTAAGTCCCTCAATTTTAAAAATCTTAATCAATTTGGTCCTCAGTTTGTTTGACCGTTAGTCAACCGTTAACTTGGGACCAAATTGATAATTCCACTAGTCAAGGGACCATTTCGGTAATTAACTTTAGCGGTGGGCAATTCGATTAAGTTTTCTCGAAACGAACCGTACCGAATTTGATTTAATTTTATTATTATTATTATTATTATTATTATTATTATTATTATTATTATTATTATTATATTTTTTTAAAAAAATCAAACAGTATTCAGTTCGGTTTGATTTTTTACCGAACAATCCAGTTCGGTTTTTTTATCGAACCGTTCGGTTTACAAAAATCCAATACCGTTCAGTTGTTCGGTATATTACCGAACCGAACTAGTTCGGTTCGGTACGGTTCAGTTCGGGAAAATCGAATCGAATTGTCCACCCCTAAAGTCAATTATCGAAATGGTCCCTTGACTATAGCAAATTACCAATTTGGTCCCAAGTTAATAGTTGACTAACGGTCAAACAAACAGAGGACCAAATTGATTAAAAATTTTAAAGTTGAGGGACTTAATTGGACAAAAAAATTAGTCAAGGACTAAATTGATAATTTCGCTATAGTCAAGGGATCATTTTGGTAATTAACTCTTTTGGAGAAAAATGAAAGATCCTTTTCGTTTTGGAATAACAATTTCTCCTGACTACCAGGACTATGTGGTCTAATGGTACCCGGGTTGGACTTCCATTTGGAAGATTATGAGTTCAAGCCTCAGTGGAGGCGTTATTGGTTCTTTATGTTTCAGTAGGTTAGAAAGTATATGAACAGATACTACATGTAATAGAGCCAGTAACTTAAAAAAAAAAAAAAAAAAAAACAATTTCTCCTGACTGTCAATATGTATCATTCAATAATCTTGTTTTAGGGACCAAAATTTACATTGTCACGTGATCTAAGTTCTTTATCCAAGGTATCATCAGATCCATCTGTCATCGGTCGACATCGAGATGGAAATGCTTCTAACATGGCAATATTGTTTGCATATTTTTTTGTTCATGATGGTTCAGTATATTGTATATATACGGAGCAACAGCCTCTTGGAAAACAACTCTCATATATGATATATGTATGATAATAATAAGTTGATTCCCAATTAATCAAAATATATCCAATATATTAAGGCCCTGTTTGGTAAAATAATTAGCGTATATGTCAATATTAACTTATTTAACCATTACTATCAATATTGACTTATTTAACCATTATTAATTGTTTGACTTGATTTAAAAATCAATATAAATATTTGATTAATTAGCTTTTTATACTCCAAAATGCTAAAATTCAAAAAACTATTCAAAACAACATATTAAATTAGCTTTTTGAGAAAAAAAATTATATCAAACAGCTATCAGCTAACAACTAATTTACCAAAAATTTTTCTACAATCAACTAATGTTATCAACTAGTTATACCCTCTAATTAACACATAGTTAATACCCTCTAATTAACACAATAAGCTAACACCATTCCTAAATCTCAATGGTTCTAATCATAATAATAATACATTAATACCAATTACTATCTTGAATAGAGATGATAACAAGCAGGTAAAATTAGATACTTGCCTCACCTAAACCCTAATATGATGGAAATTTTTTAAATTAAAAAAAAAAAATTACAAATAAACATATTCTTTATCTGTTTTATCTCTAATCTTTCATTTTTGGAGAAAAAAATTAAAAGAATGTATATTTATACCTTTATAATATGAGAGAAAGGCAGAGGAAATTGTTTAGTTTCGGATTCATCCAAGCTGTGATGACCTCTCAGTTGAAGAAAAGCAATTTGACAAATAACAATTCAAGAACCCGTAACCACTGTTCCATTACTTGAACTAGACCTACTCTACGCGATCAATACACATTTCCATACACCATCTACCACGTTAAGTCGTTAACTAATAACAAAAGAAAACACTCCCGGCGCCAGATGACTCGAGTCTCAAACAACTGGTACACTTGCAAGATCATCCATTCGCAATGTTTATCTGCAAAATAAACTATAACAAATTAACAACTTCCCACAAGTGATCAATGCTCATTATAGAGTGTGCAACCCTCTACCCTTTTGGTGCCAGAGGTTAAATTATCAGTGAAACATAATGCAAACTCAACAACAATATTATACCATAAGCTAATTATTATATGGCAACAGGGATGGAGATGCAGATGCCAGAATGCTAATTGCTAAAGTTTAACAAATGTCTCTCTTAGAAATGAATTAACAGTCTTAACGAGATCTTCAGCATTACGAATCAGTCTCATTAGAAACCCACAACTTATTTAAAAGCAAAGATCCACTTAATACAAAAGGTTGACACTAACACGTCACTGAATAAGCTGAAAGGGATGATGCGTCTTAGCACCTCAAAATATCCAAGAAGGGGAAAAGTTTGAATCAGTGTGAGCCATTGATTTAATATCCTGCTACCTGATTCTTTATGGCACTGGCATTCAGCATTAATCCTTTGGGGCCAACTAGAATGGGATTGTGGGTCACTTGTGGTACCACCGTTTTAAAAAAATGGCTAAATTCTATGATTTATCTACTAGCAACCAATTGGCAAGATCTCTCGAGGTTTAAATCTCTCACAGCATAGTGTTAGGACTAATCTCACTAGAAAGTCCATAGTAAACTGAAAACCAGCCCAGGTAACATGTAGATAATCCCATTTCAAAGAATAAAAAACGTAGAAAATCATTCTTTGAAGACTCAAAACTAAAAAATAGTGAACATGAAGACAAATTAACCAACATAAATTCCCTCCCTGTTCACTGATCAAGTACACAACAAAGTATACATCCCTTCTGCTTTAGATCCAAGTAGTGTTTAATGTACATGTAAACATTATGGACTACATAGAACACTAATCCATTACTAACTTCAAAGTTGATTGATTATTCACAATCCACAACCATAATTCATATATACCATAATAACAATTAATCAAGTGGGATCACAGTGCATTTGAATAACTTGAAGGAAATTTTCATCCACAAGAAAGGGAACATATGTTCCTATTACTTTGAACAACTAGAACATTTATAAAATTAAATTTAAAAAACAAACAATTAATTAATTGTTGGAATAATTAAAATGATTGAGATAAAATTGGTTTGAAAAGGAGAAATAGAATACCTTGTCAAACTACGGGCTGCCTGCTATCGTAATCGACGACCTCAGAGTCGGCGAGAGATCTGGAGTGCTGAACGATGGAGCGGCCGATGGAATTGATCCAGTCCTCCTTCTCCTTCTCGGAGTGGGCGATGAAGTACATGGTGTCGCGGCTAGTGGAGAGCTCGAAAGAAAAGGGCTTGTGGAGGACGTCCTCGGCGCCCTTGACGGTAAGGCACTCGTTGACGGCGACGACGCCGCGCGGGACGGCGTCGGGAGTGGAGGCGGAGGCGGGGTCTTTGAACCACAGAAGCTTTCCCTGCTTGAGAACAAACCAACGACGGCGCCAGGTCTTGATGTACTCGCCTTGCTTGGTTAGCCACCCGGCCCGCTCCGGGTTGGACCAGAACTCAATCCCCGAGTAGTCTGACGGGTCGGGATTGGAACCCGTTACTGATCTCCACAGGCTCTCTACAGTAGACGACATCTGATCTCACGCCGTTTCTTGGATTCTGCGTCTGCGTGAGTGCGTGGTGGTGAGAGTCGTGGCGAGCGAGCATCAATTCCGGTTTTTGTATACTTCTACTTCTACTTCTACTTCTACTTCTAAATTCTACACTTCTAGTGCTACCCTACCTGTCCAAACACGATTGAAAGTGGTCCCTACACTCCTTTGTCTCTACATGAGGGTAGTAATGTCAAGACGGGCCCGCCCGCACTACCGCGGGCTTAATTTTTGACGGGTTTTTGTGGGTCGGTTCGTCGACAAGGATTCATGAAATCTTAGCCTGCTTCACGCGGGTTGGTGGATCTTGCAATTTTTTTGTTGTTGTTGTTGAATTCAAAATATAAAAAAAAATAATAAAAATTTACACTTTTGATCCTACGACTATGGTATAACTAATAACTTTGGTCTACGACTTTTAAACTCATCAATCTCTCAACTATTAAAATTTAAAAACAGACTAATATGCTATTTTTAATTTTCCTACTATTAAAAAAATACTTTACTTTTAAGTTTTAACATCAAATAAATTTAAATTTAATAACCAAAAATAAAAATGGAATAGTTAAGGGACCAAATTTGAAATTAAATCTTTTACCTTTATCCCATTTTTTTTTTTTGAATGCTACTAGCTCTATTACATTGTAGTATCTGTTCATATACTTTCTCAACCTACTGAAACACAAAGAGCTAATAATGCCTCCACGAAGGCTCAAACTCATAACCTTCTACATGGAAGTCCAACCCGGGTACCATTGGACCACATAGTCCTGGTACCTTTATCCCATTTAATTTGGCAAAAGTTTTAGATTGTTATAAACACTAGTAATTCACCCGCGCGATGCACGGGAAAAAATTATGTTATTATAAATATAAATAAAAAATAGAAAAATTAAAATATTTTAAATTATTTAATATAATAATATTTTTGAGCTTCCATTGGTCAAGTATTTATTATTTTTATAGAATACAAAATTACAATTAAAATTAAAAGGGAAAATTGTAAAAAATGTCCCTTTATAATATGTCAATTATCAATGTCACCCCTGAATTATGAGTGGTGTAAATGTTGCCCCTCAATTATCAAAATGGTGCACATATAGCCCCTCCCGTAACGGACATGTGGTTCCTCGTTAGTGTACGGCACCGTTAAGTCGGAGTAAATATGTAATTTAGTTGTTTTTTCCCTCCCTCGATTGGAAATACCTGCGATGTACAGCGGTGGGGAACCACATATCCGTTACGGGAGGGGCTATATGTGCACCATTTTGATAATTGAGGGGCAACATTTACACCACTCATAATTCAGGGGTGACATTGATAATTGGCATATTATAAAGGGGCATTTTTTACAATTTTTCCAAATTAAAATTAAAATTAAAATTAAAATTTTGTATGGTTAATATAATCTCTAATTATGTGCATATTCAAATAAACTTATAGAGAGAATTTACATAATTACATTGATTTATTCTTAATTGTATTTCATCTATATTATAATTTTCACAATACGAATAATAACTAAGATAATTACATTTGGAAAGCAAATTTCAAATTTTGTATGTGTAAATTTAAACTCTAATTGAACACATTTTTTATATGATTATTATATAATATATAGCTATTTTATTTTTCAAAAGTATATTTTTTATATGATTATATAATATATAGCTATTTTATTTTTTAAATGTTGTGCTTTCTCATTTTTTTTTTATAATAAAGGATGTTATGGCATTAATTATAACATTAATTATTTCCCAAAACCATATAGCTTTATTATATAAAGGATTACGTTGTTGTGGACATTATTACCTATTTTATAACAGTTATAAATGGTATATAATTATTACCATTAAGTACACCTTTATTACCTTGTACAATATATATGTGCTTGTATCTTCTTGTAATATTAACGATGAATAAGAATTGTTACTTTATCTCTACATATCTTCTTTCTCTCTTCTTTTCAATATCATCTATTCTGCAATATTCATCGGTTAAGAGCTAAAGGCCATCGGGCATAATCTCCCACAACACATTATCAACACGCTTAATTATTGTGAACAGTACAAATGCCCTTTTACTCGAATATGCATTTTTTTCTTCATAATTGATATATGATATATGCAATTCGTATGTTTTAATATGCATTTGCTTCTACTATATAATTTGTATGCCTTTTGTGTACATGAATATGGTTGTTTTTGTGTTTAAATATAGAAAGCAATGGCAAATTATATCGTGGATCGCGGTGCATAATCGATTATGCACAGAGTTTCAAAATGATGTCGTTTTGTTTAATGAAAGAAATGACACCAGTTTTTCTCGTTCCGCAAAAAGTAACTATGTTATTCAGTTTCATTTTGTATATACTGCAGTTTCAGTTCAACACAACTACAGTTTCATTTCAATATAACTACAGTTTCATTTCAATATAACTACAGTTTCATTCGATATTTATACACTCAAATATGTGAAAATGTTATTTAATTTTATTTTATATACACTATAGTTTCATTAAAACACAACTACATGATCATTCCGATATAACTACAGCTTCATTGCATAATATACACTCAAATATGTGAAATCTTATTCAATTTCATTTTATATACACTGTAGTTTCATTTCAACACAATTACAGTACATTTTGATATAACTACAGTTTCGCTGGGTAATATACGCTCAAATATGTGAAATTGTTATTCAGTTTCATTTTGTATACACTGTAGTTTCATTACAACTACAGTTTCATTTTATTTCATTTCAATTGCAGTTTCACTTGATAATATAAAAATAATACGTGAGAGAGTGTCAATTTAGATACACTGTAGTTTCAGTTGGTAATTAATACACAAAAAATACACATTCCGTTAACTGTAACGGCGCGCCATTTCTTTAGTTAAAGAAACGACGCCATTTTTTATCGCGGTGCACATGCACCGCGGTCCATGATATAACTTTTCGAAAGCAATATCACCATTCATAGAATGAATGTATATATATGGATTATTGTTTGGACCTATCTATGTTGTTGGGCTCATTGAAGGATCAAAAGAGATTGATTGTTTTTGTTGGGCTGGACCGGCCCAATTCGTTCAACGAAACAAAACAAATTAAATTGAGCCTATTTGTTTTAATGAGATGGACCGTGCCCAAAAAAAAAAAAAAAATCTTTTTAAAAATATTTTTTTGGTTTTTTTTTTTTTTTTTTTATTAAATAACAATAAGAACAATAATGATTCTATCATGTTATTGTTATGTTTTGGGCCTGCAATTTAGTTTGATGAATATTATATGGCAAATTATGCTATGGACCCGTGTTCACCATGTGCATGGTGGACACGCTATACATTCATAATTTCTATACTGCAGATTCATAATTTCTATACTGTAGGTTCAGATGAATTTCTAAACTATAAATCCATAATTTCTAAATTGTAGATTCATAATTTCTATAGTTTAGATTTATAAAATTTATACTGTAGATTACCAAGACTATGTGGTTTAATGGTACCCGGGTTGGACTTCCATTTGGAAGATTGTGAGTTCGTGCCTCAGTTGAGGTGTTATTGGTTCTTTGTGTTTCAGTAGGTTGAGAAAGTATATGAACAGATACTACAATGTAATAGAGCCATTAACATTAAAAAAAATTTATACTGTAGATTCATAATTTCATAACTATACATCCAGAATTGCATAACTACACATCCATAACTTCATAACTATACATCCAGAATTGCAACTACACATCCATAACTTCATAACTATAAATCCAGAATTGCATAACTACTGTTGGAAAAAATGGCATGTTAAGTGACTATTTTGTGGTACAATTATCAAGTGGGTCCACTTCCGATTTGGGTCGGGTCAAAGTGGATTCGGATTCTTCGTAGTGAGACGAAGAGATCGATATATTGTACGCTCAAAACGGATAATGGGTGAATGAGATATTGATTCTCAAAGTAGACACATTTGAGTTGGAAAATGAAGGGAAAAAGTGACTTTTGTCCCACATTGCTTTGGAATGAAGATTTCCCCCCTTATATACAAGAGCTCTTTTTAAGCTTGTAGAAATTGCGGGCTGCCGCCACTTGTAGTTTCAGCTCCCACTTGTAGTATAAAGGCCGAAACTGGGTGAGGTCGAAAGTTGAGACCGAACCATGTACGCCAACGGTCTGGAACCCGAAAGTTCTGACTGTTATGGGGGTTGAATTCATCTGTTACGGAATTAATATCCTATTAACTCCAATTTTGAATACTGAATTCAATTCTCAGGTAGTGGCCTGCTGTTATAGCTGTTGGAGAGCCAGCTTTAAAGTGCCCTAATAAAAGCTGTTTAATCCTTCAACCCTATATAAGAGAGGGTAGAGGCAGTAGAGATTTACACAGAAAATATAGAACACGAAAGTTCATCTTTTAGCCTCAAAACCTGATAGAAAAAAGGCTTGATTCAAGCCCGAGCTCGTGTGCGCCGGCACCTGCGGGCACGAATGTCGTCCGGAAATTGGCTGGCATTGCGGGCTGCCGCCACTTGTAGTTTCGGCTCCCACTTGTAGTATAAAGGCCGAAACTGGGTGAGGTCGAAAGTTGAGACCGAACCCTGTACGCCAACGGTCTGGAACCCGAAAGTTCTGACTGTTATGGGGGTTGAATTCATCTGTTACGAAATTAATATCATATTAACTTCAATTTTGAATTCTGAATTCAATTCTCATGTAGTGGCCTGCTGTTATAGCTGTTGGAGAGCCAGCTTTAAAGTGCCCTAATAAAAGCTATTTAATCCTTCAACCCTATATAAGAGAGGGTAGAGGCAGTAGAGATTTACACAGAAAATATAGAACACGAAAGTTCATCTTTTAGCCTCAAAACCTCTCTGCTTCTACTCCTTCTTTAGTCTATTGTGTTCATAACCGTGTCTTGGTCAGTTGCTCGCCGGATTCCTTGTTTGAGTGCTCGAACATTGAATCACTAACAAGTTTTATCCTGGGAAGCCTAGGCCACAACGCTCCTAGCATCTTTGGGATGTGGCAAATAAGGTTTTAAGGAAAGAGTGCTCACTTGACCCTTGCAAAAA